CCTCAGGAGATGAAAGGAAACGTTTTTCTCCCTGAGTCTGGCCTTCATAATTCCATTCCATTACAGTATGTATGTATATGTGTGTGTGTATATATATTCAAATACTCTATTACAGATAAGCAACCCAGACTACATTTTAGTGCTAACAGACCTGGGGTGCAAAAGTTCACATAACCATTAAGTGGCAGCAAAGAGATACAGAAAAGTCTAGCTCCGTATTGCCATCTAGTGGTCATCCCACTTTCAAAAATGTAAGTTTTAATGTATTTAGCAGTGTTGGTAGATGTACATGAGTACTGTACATTTTGCATATTCTTCTACAGCTTAATAAGAACTGCCTAAATGTATATCAAGAAAACATTCTCATTTGTAATTAGTTGAATTTGAAGTGGATAGATAGCCTTTATTCACATTAAACTTTCTGTTGAATTTTGAATAAATCAAAAGTAGATCTATCACACTATAAGACAAGATTTTATCACATCGAAGCACCTTTTTGTATATAAAACTCACATTACTAAAGAAGAAAGATTCTAATCTTTTATCTTACAATGATTATAAAATATTTTTATATTGTCTATCTTTTAAGAAAAATGTTCAATGCTAATCTTTTCAAAAATATAAAATAACAAATGTATTTTAAAAGTCTAAGAATTAGGAAAAATGAGCTAATTTGAATCAGACTGATTTATTTGAAGAAGCAAAATGTGCAGAGGATATAGTTACCGTTATAAATCTTCACATCCTATTTAGGAACTCTTTTGAAACACAAAAGGTTTTCCTTAAGTCAATCTGCATCTATATACTAAACTCATTTTATCCTCCCAGAAAGCCTCAAAATACTACATATAGATCATCTGCAATACTATATATTGAGGAACACTGAAGATTTCAATGTACAGTGAAAAAAAAGGGGGGGTTGCTATTGATTCTGATTGTATGAATTGGGAAACAATGCATGAAGAAGGTACAAGGATGGCCCACAGCATCCACAGGGGTTCAAAACAGGCAAGCTGGTGGAAGTGACATCATGATCTGAGTCCCAGCCCTTTTGTATTGCTTTGCATGCACTACAAGGGGCAGGACTTGGATCACAACACTGTTTCAGCCATTTTGCCTGTTTGGACCTCTCCTGTGAATGACTCTTGCCATGGTCCAATGAAAACTGTTTCTGGGTCTTAAAACAGTTCATGAATAGGGTAATAAGACCTTAAAGCACCAATGCAAGAAGTCAGTTTCATTTAGCACTACACACTGATTCCTATATGTGATAGGTCAATGAATAGATTTTACTCATTGCTCATATAAAACTTACATTACATTAAGCTTACATTAGGTTGGAACCAAACTCTGTAGCCAATCAAAGTGGGGGGCAAATTTTACCAAATTATCATTTCTATTTTCCCATGAAGTTCCTGCTCTGGAGACTTGGAGAATTCCTTAGAAAAGTGTGGGAACTGAGGGCTGCAGGTGAGCAATAGGCAATTGCCTCTACTCTTTCCCTAGCAAAGAATCTTACTGTCTTCTCTAAAGAGTCCTTGTGCTTATGGAAGCCTAAGTTTGGGTCCATCTACTGTCATGACAAAAAGGGGCAAAAAATCCATGAGATGACAGGAAGACTTTTTTCAACAATATAAAAAAAGCAGCTCAGTCTAAGAGAAGGTATTTTTCTGGCTTATAAAAAACTCTTTAAAATAATTTCATAATGAATGAAAAGAGGGTATGCTGTGAAACAAACCCTTGAGAAAAAGGATAATTCAACAATATTCCTAGTCAATAATCAGGAACTTTGATACTGACAAAATTACAACTCATCAACACACGCATAGAGATAATTTCTTATTTTCCATAAATAGTTTAGAAAATCCACTCCCATATCTGAAAAGTTTTATTGCAATTGCTTTGCCTTTTGTAGTATAAGAATGGCACCTCTGTGAAGAAAATTTTAATAACTCATAGACAAGAAAAGTGTATAGAGAATGGTATACACATAGTAAGTTTTGTATTTGACAAATCTCTGAAATATTTTCTGTTGAACTTTTCAATGTTGTTTACATATAATTAAATAACAAGAAGCTTAGGGTTTTTCATACAAAAATCTAAATAATAAATTGTGATGGTTAAAAATTGTAGTTGGCTGGTGTGGGTCTTCCAGGCTGTGTGGGCGTGTTCTTGAAA